GGGGGGGGGGTGAGAGAGAGGGAGAGATGGTGATCTTGATGGTTCTGGTCTGCTGCTATTTAGGAAAAGTGAGAGTGATACAAAACTACAGAGAGGGAAGAAGGGAGAAGGACATATGTTGAAGAGCAGGAACAGAGAGAACATGGAGGAATAAAAGACTAAAACACTGGAAATAGAGAGGTAGAGAAGAAGAAGAGGAGATAAGGAGATAGGGATCGGACAGGGTTAGAAACAAGGAATAGAGAGAGACACATAGAGGAGACAAAGAGAGTTGACAAAGAAAAGTAAGGAGACAAGGAGTGGACAGGAGAAAAAACTAAGAAAACACAAAAAGGAGATGAGACAAGGACAAATGGGAGAAGAGGACATGAGAGAGAACAATAAGAGGGGGGATGGAGAGAGGACAAGGGACAAGGAGAGGAAACAAAGAGGAGACGAGAAGAGACTTAAAAATAAATAGTAAAAGAAAGTAGAGGAGACAAAGAGAGTAGACAAGAAAAAGAAAAGAAGACAAGGAGAGGAGATGAGAAAGAAGAAAAGGAGAGGAGTAGAGCAAACAAAGACAGGATATAAGACAAGGAGAGGAGACAAGGAGAAGGGGGGGCAGGAGAGTTGAAGAGATAAGGCAAGGAATTGAGAGGAAATAAAAGAAAAGGAGAGGAGTAGAGGAAACAAAGATAGGAGATGAGACAAGGAGATAAGACAAATAGAGGAAAGGAAGATGGGAGAAGAGGAAAGGAGAAAAACAAGGAGAAGGGGGGACAAGAGAGGAGAGGTTACAAAAGAGGAGAGGAAATAAAAAAGGAGACGAGAAAAAGAGAAATAAGAAGAGGAGACTTCAGGGAGAGTGGAAAAAAAGAGGCAACCAGAACAAGAAGAGGAAACAAGTAGAGGAAAGAAGACAACAGAGAGAAACTGTTAATAATCATCAGGGAGGTTTGACGTCTCTGAAGGTCTGAAGGTCAGAGGAGTCAAACAGCAACAGAAGGTCAGTCACTTCATCAGCAGAGGAGACGATAATGCCTCCTCAGTGCTGTCAGCGCCTCCTTTAACCTTCTCCAGAGAGTCAGAGAGTAAACACACAGAAACTCTGCAGCAGCTGCTGCTCCTGTCAGACAGAGATGAGGGCTGCACACTTTAGGGCAATAACTCATGTAGGTAACATTGACTGATATTGTAATTGCAATAGGATAGGAGGGAATGAAACGTTACAATATGATTAAAAAACATGATCAAAATGATAATAACGCAATGTTTTTGGAGGATCTTTAACAAACAAGGATTATTTATAAAGTCTGTAGAACAGAGTTTGCAGGCCAGTGTTTCTCTGCAGGCCCACAGTGCTTCATTTTCACAAATTCTGCCTTTACTAAATATTGTGTTTTGGTACTAGTCCGTATTTCAATTTCCATAACTTTTGATTAAAGGTGGGGTAGGTAAGTTTGAGAAACCGGCTCGAGGTACACTTTTTGTTATATTCCATGGAATGCTCTTAACATCCCGATAGCAATGAATATCTGAAGTGCTTTGACAAAAAATCCATAAAAAAATGTCATCTGTGGAAGCTGTAGCGCTGTAAAAAGCACGACCAATCATTTGAGCCGGCCCGGCTAAAGTAACTGGATGGCCTACCTGCCTGTCATCCTTCCATCTGTGCACAAATTATCTCATGGCCTCATTGGTCATATGCGCATTCGTGTGTGTTGGAGGAGGGGCTCTGTAAGGAAATGGCAGATTTTTCCCGGCTGTGTATTTTCAAATTCTAGCGCACTCTAGCTGGTTTCTCCAAAATTACCTATCCCACCTTTAAGTGTGTGTCCTTAAAGAAGACAGATGTATTTAGTTCTCTCCTCCTTTCCTCCTTTGTGTGTATCATTATTTATTGTGTTTATCTTTACATTACTCCTCAAACGCCATTTTACAATGTGTTTCCACTGCACTATTTCTCAATGCTCTTAATGTATTTCATTTTTGTCAAGCACTTTGAATTACCTTGTGTTGAAAGGTGCTATATAAATAAACTTGCCTTGCCTTACATGTACATTACAAATTTTGATTATTATCGGTAAATAAAGTATTTAATGTGTAATAAACTCCTGCCCCCCCACCTCTCGGTCAGGGCCTTGCTCTGGTTGTCTCTGGCCGCCTGCAGGTCTCTCTCCAGACGTTTCTTCTCAGATTCCAGCTTCTCCTTGTCGTTGGGCTGCAGGCGCTGGCGGGGGCTGACGTACTGCAGCTCCTTCAGCAGCTCCTCCTTCTCGTTGATGAGGATGAGGCGGTCCCGCTCCGGGTCCAGCAGCCCCGGCCACGCCTCGCTGTCCAGTTTGGCGATCTGCACCTCGATGGTGGCGATCCTGGAGGAGGAGGAGGAGGAGGAGGAGGAGGAGGAGGAGGAGGAGACGTTTAATGAACATTTGACTTATATACTCAATAATACACACAGAGACACATACAGTCATCCAGCAGAATACACGTTCTCTCTACTAGCTGCAATGGACAGAATATTTGTTCTGTTGTCATATATTCATCCATTTGGAATTATTGTTAAGGGTCCTTGGGTTTAATGAAAGACACTTTATGAATCAAAGTTATTATTATTATTATGATTAGAATTCTAGTTCACCAGACTAGACTCACACCTTACAGTGCTGTGCTCCACATGTACCAGCCATTGCTAACCAATCAGAAGTGGCCCATGCCAAGTATTTTTGAATTACTTTTCCAAATGGCTTCCAATGGAGCTTTCCTAGATGGTTTGGTGAAACAAACCATCTGAGTCAGGTTAGTAATGCTCCATCACATGTTTTACATCTATCACAGGGTGAATCTTAAACTGAAGCTTGACTTTAAAGCAACCCAACGGAAGTTTCATGTAAGTTTAGTTCTTTCACTCGTAGCTCGGGCTGCGGGGGTGCTAGAGACGGGAGCATGTTGATATGACCTTCCTAGCCGGAGATATGGCCGCTTTTTACAATAAACTTCCGTTGGGTCGATTAAAAACAAATATCGCAAATCAAATCGCAATATCTGTCAGAAAAATCGCAATTAGATTTTTTCCCAAAATCGTGAAGCCCTAAAATACATGTATATATATATTTGTATATATTCTTATTCTTGGAGCCATAGAGAAACAGAATGTCGATCTCCCTGTTTGTATCACACATAATAAAGCTGACTTTGACTTTTGACTCTAGCCATCAATTGGCTCTTCGGAGGAACACAGGAAAAACAGTTTTCATAGATAATTACAGTTCTGTAAAGAAGTGTTCGACCTTGAAACTGTATGATGAAAACCCAGGGTCAAACAACCCTTTGCTACAAATCCTCTTCTCTTTACAGTGTTTATCTTGAGCAAATTCTGTTAGATGCTTAATGCTCAGGAGAACGACAGCAGATTAGTGAGCTGGTAAAATAACTAAATCACAGAGCTTTTGCAAATCTGAATCCATACAAAATCAAACAACACCGATTATAAAAGTTTCATTCATTCAGGTTGAGGTATTCCTTGACATAAAATACTTGCAAACACAGACATATTTGAATGTTTTCAATAGATTTTTTGCGCACCTTCTCTTGGCCTCCTCGTACTGCAGACTCACACGAACCTTCTCTGCCAGTTTGTTGGTGCTGGTCATGAACTACACACAAACAATGACACAATGGACGTTTACACACATCAGTTTATAAAACAATATTCAGGATCATCATTTAATAAAGCAAACGTACCAAGACAACATTGTAAATTGCTCATTACAGGACATAATTATGATGCAACATTTAGTCTAGTCCAGTTTTTCCAAACCTAGATTGCTCAAGAATGTTTTGTATAAAAAATAAGTCAAATCAAGTCTGGGCGACATAGCCATTATCTTCCAACAGGTAATAGATAACAATGTTCAGGGGCATGTTCTCTGGTAAGTCAATACATAAAAAGTCCTTGCACTCAGTTGGATGGATAGCCTGTCTTTTAAAAGGTCGACTTGGTGTCCATATTTTTTTTGTCTCTCGGAAAAACCTGCCCTAAGATGAATGCTAACACGTGGTAGACTTTTTGATTTCGTTTTTTACCTGTGGGACTATACCTTATGTTGTGCTGATAACCAGGGTTGGGAGGGTTACTTTGTAAATGTAATCAGTTACTGATTACTGAATACATGGCTCTGAAAGTAATCCGAACGTACAGTTACGTGTCTTAAAAAAGTAAGGTAATCAGATTACTTTTGGATTACTTTATTTTTCCATCACAGATGGGTATGTTTTGGTGTACAGGAGACACAAAAAGCAAAAGGAAACTGAACGTGTTTTTACTGTTTTAATGGCTTATCAAGAGCACAACCATGACAGTCCCTCAACACGTCTCATCAACGTTGCGTGGAAGTCGGAAACAGTACCGAAGGAGTGGCAGACCGGGGTGGGGGTTCCCCTTTTTAAAAAGGGGGATCAGAGGGTGTGTGCCAATTACAGAGGCATCACACTACTCAGCCTCCCCGGGAAAGTTTACTCTAAGGTACTCGAAAGGAGGGTCAGGCCGATTGTCGAACCTCAGATTGAGGAGGAACAATGCGGATTCCGTCCTGGTCGTGGAACGACGGATCAGCTTTTTACTCTCGCAAGGATCCTGGAGGGGGCCTGGGAGTACGCTTATCCAGTCTACATGTGTTTTGTAGAATTGGAGAAGGCGTATGACCGAGTTCCCAGGGAGTTACTGTGGGAGGACAAAACACATGTAGACTGGATAAGCGTACTCCCAGGCCCCCTCCAGGATNTTCAAGTACAAGATCTGAGTACTTCTACTTTTACTCAAGTACAAGATCTGAGTACTTCTCCCACCTCTGTAGGCTGCTAACTACAGTGCTAATAAAGTCACAATAAGCACTTTTAATAACCCTTTTTCTCCCAAGTTTAAAGGTTGATCTCTCTGAATCTTGTGTTCAGAATCTAAGGCAGCCAGCTTCATAATAAACGTTGAATTGATCCTAGGCAGACCACCGTAAAGAACATCACGGAGCTGGTGCACCAAGTCTGCATGGGGATGAAGTACCTGGAGGAGCATAACTTCGTGCACAGAGACCTCGCCGCCCGCAACGTGCTGCTCGTCACGCATCACTACGCCAAGATCAGCGACTTCGGCCTCTCCAAAGCTGTGGGCGAGGACCAAAACTACTATAAGGTACTAAGGGGGGTGGGGGTTCAGATTATTTGTTTGACATCAAGCATGAAGTCAATCCAGGCCCATGGATGCATATTCCATGGTTTATCAGAGCGAAATGGTTGAGTGGGGAAATATTGCTAAGAACTATCCCAATAAGTTGCACAAGCTGACATAAAGCTGCTTTCGGAAAATAGAATTGGAAATTAGCGATAAATTGATGCCTCTGAGCTGCTCTAACAATGCAGCATATTTCCACTTTAAAGGAAGTCTTGGTTCAGGTCATACATGCACCTCTTTCATCTCTGCATAAAAGCAAATACATACCAAGCATTGAAGTGACTGCAATATTTACAAGATCCTTTCTGTTTATTATTTATTTGACTTTGAAGAGAGCATGTTCGGGCCCAGCTGTATATAATTACCCTGAATGCGATCATCGTCATATCACAAATATGTAATCTGAGGCTGCAAAATGACCAGCATAAAATGAAATCATTCCCACTGTATCTCCTCCTCCCTCAGGCCAAAGGTCATGGCAAGTGGCCGGTGAAATGGTACGCTCCCGAGTGCATCAACTACTTAAAATTCTCTTCCAAAAGTGACGTGTGGAGCTTCGGGGTGCTCATGTGGGAGGGCTTCTCCTACGGACAGAAACCTTACAAGGTATGAACTAACACAAGTTAACCAGAGGCATGATGACGTACAGTTACCGTAATTTTCGGACTATAAGGCGCACCTGAATATAAGCCGCAGCAGCTAAATTGAATGATGTGTACATATATAAGCCGCACTGGATTATATGCCGCAGGTGTTTTAATGTTTAATTACCATATGTAAGGGTTCGTGCACAGAGGGGATTGTCGGGAAAGAGATGGCTGTTTGAGGAAGCTCCCATTTATTAACATTTCAACCAACAAGTTGCATATTTGCATAACGTATTCAAGTGTTACCATTTAGTGCAATAGTAGCTACAGAACATGTACTGTGCTGTGTAAACTGTACTGTATCACATAGTGTTTCAGACACACAAACTTTTCATCTTTCAAACTTAAACGGTGCGCTCCCAGCGCACGTACCGGCAGTGATCTACAGCAGTGGTTCTCAACCAGTGGTACGGGGAGAAACTGTCTCGCTCTCGTAATGTCTGTCTGTCTGTTTTGCTCTCGTTCTGTCTCTCGTACCACTCTCGGTTCCACTTTTACTTTTGCGCGCTACCTGTCTCACTCTTTTCCGGCCTCCAGCTTTTCCTGCTGGAGCCCGCCGCTTAAAGGTGGGGGGCGTGGACCGGCCATAGAGCCCATAGAGTTAAAGGTGGTGGACTGTAACCTGTAAAATCCATAGATTTAGGAGGTCCCCTAGTGGCCGTTAGCTGTAAAAATCCATAGATTAGCCGCACCGTTATATAAGCCGCAGCGTCGAAAAATGGGAAAAAAGGCGCGGTTTATAGTCCGAAAATTACGGTAATCTAATTACAGTTACTTTCGTAAACCTGAAGTAAATACATTTTGGAATACTTATTTGAATTATTGGTGGAAAGATTTCCTCACAACATTTAATATTCATTGCTAAAGGTACAGCCGAATCATCACAGCGCACAAAACCTATTACCACCGCAGATGGACCAAAAAAGGGAGCGGGTCCGCTCAGTGAAACGATAACAGCGAAACATGGAGGAACAGAAGTCTGCGTTTAAATCGTGTGTGTATGTGTGTGTAGAGGTGTGTGTGGTTAAAATACATCAGCCTGCGGTCGCTCTTAGCCTTTCTAATGATTCTGAAGGTATACACAGTGAAGGCGGTGCGTGAAAGGCACTGCACGCTCCTCTTCTCAGAGGCTGAGTTAACCCTCCCGCTGCCTCCTGGTGCTGCAGAGATTTCATGCTGTGAAGGAGGTTTTCCTTCTATAAAACAGCTGTGGGCAGCAGATACTGTGAGTGTCACAGACATGAATTCATAGATCAAGGCAGACTGATGCACACATTCTCCTGTTTTGCCAATCCGGTGCTTAAACAAATACAGCTCTACACCCCTGGCCGAAATGTCCTTAAAATGAAGTCCGAGTTCGACATTTTAATTCATGTCCTGCCAACACTGGCAGGACAGAATGTGACACGCCCGTTCTAAGCCGTGTCCCTCACTCCTGTTGGCAGGACATGAATTAAAATGTCGAACTCGGACTTCATTTTAAGGANTTAAAAGCAGCTGCCCATTCCTATGTCTGGTAGGGCTGCTCGATTAAGGCAAAAATCATAATCTTGATTATTTGGGTCAATAATTGATATCACGATTATTAAAAACGATTATCCATTTACTTTCAAAAAAACATTGAACAGTATGTTTTTAACAGTTGATTACCCTGAACTTTAATTCAACTGAAAAACCAATACTTAAAAAAAAAAAATTCAATAAAAAATAATCAAGCCGTTAACATTTCTTAACTATTGGTTGGATTACAATGAACTCTGATATAGTTTGAAATACAACTCAAATCATCCTTTAACTTTACCCCTTACACCATCGTCAGTCAAAATGTACTTTACTTTGGTTTATGACTAAATAAACTGCACAATAAATGACATTCCCACCCTATTAGGGATTACTTTTGGTTTGGTTATTACTAGCAAGTGTTAGCATGCTAACAAGCTAAACTTCGATAATGAACATGGTTTTCATCATACAACACTTTGCTAGCATGCTTACGTTAGCATTTAGCTCGAAGAATTGCTGGAGGACGGGTTATGGTTAGGGTTAGGGTTAGCATAACTGTAGACTTGTATTATTGTTTCCCCTTTTTGCATTACCTATTACATCTTCAGAACAATACTGGTTGAAAGTAATAGTCTTTCTCTGTTTGCGAAATATCTTTTTATCAAGATTATCATTTCATTTAGGCACAAATACAATTCCCACCACATACATCACGTTTTCCCACCTTCCCCCCCTTTGATTCCAAAAAGATTAAAAAGTGTTATGGTCATATGCACATAAGCTACAGCCTGGATGTGGATCAATCCAATTTACACGATAAATAGTTCATAGCATCACAATAAATAAGTAAATAACTCAATCAAGAATTTAAAAGTTTGAGTGCAGAGGGGATGACTGATTCTGAAAAGCGATTTGTCTTAAGAGCAGGTAGAGCATACGCCCTGATGGCAACAGATGAAATGAATCTGCAACAACTTGACCTGGAGAGGCCAGAATGCTCTCTGCTCTCCGCAGAACCGTCTGGTTACAGAAGGAGTTTAAGTCTCTCTTATGGCCTGTGGGATAAAACTGTCCCTGAGTCTGCCGGTTTTACTCCGGTATGTACAAATACAATTCGCACCACATGCATCAAGTTTCCCCACTTTCCCTCCCGTTGCTGTCTCTTACCCAGCATCCCTTTATCAGAGTTGGATATGCACATGTCCTTCTCGGCACTTTTTTATTTCTATTTGTATTCCAAACACTATCTTGTCTTCTCATTTTGCTGTAACTCCATCATATACAATGTTGTTGTTAAATCTGTAAAGCCCACTGAGACCAACTTTCTTTGTGATATTGGGCTATACAAATAAAGTTTGATTTGATTTAGTTTCATTTATTGCTGTCACTTACCCAGCAGTTGGATAAACACATGTCAGGACAAATCACCATTTAAGTAACACGTGGGTATTTCTTTTAGTAATAACCTCCATTCAGCGGCATTGTTGTGACTTTCCATCGCTCCACATGCATCAACTTTTCCCCTCCTTCCCTCCTTTGCAGTCACTTACCCAGCATCCCTTTGTCAGAGTTGGATATGCACATGTCCTTCTCAGCGCTGGGCAGCACGAAGCCCACCACGAAGCCGTCCACGCCGTCAGCCATCAGCGCCAGGCCCAGCACGGCGAACAGCATCCACTGGAACCGCCCGTGGCCACAATCCTCCATCAGGGTTTCGTATTGCTCCGGCAGGTTGTCTTCCTCCTCCTCTTGCTGTGCAGCCTGACGAGCTTTCCTCCTGGCCTCCAACCGAGCCGCCCTCCGAGCCTCCTTGATCTCATCGGGATGGGGAACGCCTTGATACTCGCCCTCGTACATCTGCTCGTCATCGTCCGCGCCCTCGGTGGCGTCGCTTCGAGCGTCTTCTTCCTGCGGAGGGTAGTCCGCCTGGTACGGGTAGCCATCTTGACCTTCTCCCCCTCCTTCCTGGGTGTAGGTGTATTCTCCACCTCCTGTCCCCTGCTGGGTCACGTTGTTGTGATAGGGGTCATCCATGGTTCCTGCGTGGTGTTAGCAAAGCAGGGCTGACTTTTCCCGGTAGCCGTGGTACTCTAAGAAAAGCTCAAGTTGTAACCTATAATGGCATAATCCTCCCAAGGAGCCGTAGATTCCTCTCAGGGCTGCTGCAGGTGAGATCTTCTGAGGAGCGTAAGTCTCGACTTTAAGTCCTCAACGGCTGCGTCGAAAGACTTTTACCTTCGTTGATGTGCACAGTGCTGCATGCTGAACCTGAAACACACAATGCACACATGATCTGTCAGGAGAGAAGGAATCACTTGTGGAGCAGAGACATCACCATGCAACGTCTCCTTGGGGACAGAAGTCATACTTACTGTCTCGACGGGATTCACAACAAAGCTTTAGGAGTATGACCTTCGACTCTGCAAATGCACGGGATTTGCCTTAAATATGTTGTGCCATTGTAGATGAGCAAGACATTCTTTATTGCTTTTAATTTAACTTCTGTTCGCCTAGCTTTTTGCTGCTTAACTGTACTTCCCTATCAATCCAATCATGATGTTTCTAACTTCTTGAAAAGGACTTTAGGTCAAACATAAATGCAGGATTGTATTTAAATCAGAAATTCAAAGGGACATTATACAGGACAAATCAGTGCAGGACTCCCAGCATGCCTTGCAGGCTGCGTGTCCTTCCTCACTAGCAGATAATCTCATTGTCTCTACGCTCAGATGCTGTGACGCCATTTTGATCCGTCACACAGCGCTCTGCAGCAATGACACGTTCAGATCTGTCTTTATTTGTGTGCAGACCGGAGGCTCCAACAGGACGACCATAACACAAAGACTTTGCATGTTAGGAACATCGCTGGCTGCTGCGCTGACATCATTAGACGAGTGCACGCTGGTGTCAGTCTTACAAACCAAACATTGTTCAACCTGAGGCTGGATCTTGTGTTTTATACAGAGTGCAAAAGGAGACATATGATATTAAAGTTTTACAGATGCTAAACTCTGTGCACAGTTCACGAGGAATGAGTCTAACTGTAAACCTTTATTTAACCTTCAGGTGCTCAATCTGGAGCAGCTGTGTATTTTTTAAATCACTTGTCAACTACTCTACAGCTACACCCCCTGCTAAAGGCACCTTGACAGTTAGCTTTAAAGCTAGCCATGCAGCTTTTACTGCAGAAATGATGGATTTTTAGGCAATATTTCCTCATTTTAAACTTTTGTGTTGCTTTTTCTAATATCGTCCTTTTTTACCTGTTCACGTTTTTTTGTGTTGTTTCTTTTATATCTTAGTTTTTTACAATTCTATTTTTTTTTATTATATTTGTATGTCTTGTATATATTGTCAATATACTTGTATTTCTTTTTTATTCTTGTGTATCTTTGACGCTCTTTTTAAACGTTGTAAGATAACGCTATGCAAAAATCTGTATGAATATTTTCAGCGTTTTAA